CCGACAAATTTCTTCGTCATTTTTTAAAGTAATAAAGTATTCATTCGATATATATAAAATTTTTCCAAAATAAAATCGTTTTACTCTTAATCAATCATAATCAGTGTAACCGTGTGATAAATTTAAACGATTTCTTTTTACTACAAACTTGTGTGTAATTTACATGTTTTGAGAAAGTTTTTATCGATAGATCGTATAATTGAAAAAAGTATTTCTTAAAGAATGTTTTTTATATAGATACATCTTATATATATATATACAGTGAAAGTGTAGTGTAATTTTTGCTAGTTCCAAACTAATTAGAAAGGAAATTATCATAAATGTATCTACGTTTCTTTCATCAAACAAGGTAAATACGATCTTATCTATCATCTATAATTACTTGTATATTAAATTTGTAAAAACTTTTCTTAAATACATCTTACAGAAGTTAATTTGATAAATAAAGAAAAAAAATATATATTTCTATTTATAATTCCTTTCTTACGTTATAAAGATTAAAAATTATAAGCTTTACTTGTTTTATCGATGATCGTACTTTTTGTGACATCGTTTACCTCAGTTTTTTAACAGAATCTTTTTAATTCGTCCTTCCCCGTTACTGTCGATTATCGAAATATCGAATTTTTTTCTTCATAAAACATATAGCAATACAATATCTTTTCTTTTTTTATTTTATCTCAATTGTCTAGCTGTCAAGCTATCTTTGTATGAGATAACACGTTTATTTCGTAAATTTTGCTTCAGATTCACAGTTGTTGCATTTGACACCTCGTGTTTCCACCAACGTCGTCTTCGATATTTGACATTAATAATCACACATATATATTTCGTATTCTAACGAGAGAAAAAACGTTTTTATTATCGATATGTTAATAATTTTTTCATTGATAATCCATATGAAAGTAATACGAATAATACTTCATCAAATTAAAGTTAAATTCATTTTAAAATTTACACTTCGAACGAAGCTTATGATTTAATTTGTACGAGAAGTCAACAGCAAATATCTACTAAAGTGTATTGAGATTTTAACGAAGCTTCGAAAATTAAATTTATGAAGTCTTTTTTTATAAAATAAGAATAAAAGCTCGATGTGAAAAAGAGAGAGAAAAAATAAAATAAACGGGGGAAAAGTATAGTATTATGAGGACAGGTAAAAGTAATGTCGTTTCGCGTATATAATATTTCTATCTGTGAAAAATGTAATTATGTCTTTTTATTGTCTTTCCTTTTCTTGTCTCTGCTTTTTTATCCTCCTTTCGCTTCTGGTTCTCTCAATACTTGAGAATTTCACAGATAAATCCTTTTAGAGCCTTGATTTTCTTTTATTCAATCTATATACATAGTACATACTTTGATATAAGTATATCGTATCTATGTATGCAGAATATATATAAAGAGGAAAAAAGAAGAAAATTTCGACGAATTTACATACAAACGTATTTTATATCTCCAAGTGAAAAAGGCCTAATATAAAAAATACCAGTGAAATCGTACGTAAAAACTATGGTGCTAATTAAAAAAAAAACAAAAAATGGGGAGAAGGAAAAAAGCTGTTGATAATTAAGACGATAAAAATTACTAAAGTTTCAAATCAAACTTTTCAGCTTTCATTTGAAACAATCCAAGACGAACCTATACTTTCTTCGTTTGTCTCAAACAATTTAATAAGATTTTAGAGTGAAGAAGAAGACGTTGTTACCTTTGTCAAGGACAGAAATTTAAGTATTAAATAGAAGACTCTTGCAGTGATGCGAAGAAGCATTTATTAAAACTTACAATTAGATATCCCATCCGACTATCTCGCCACATTAAAATGCCTTCGAAACTTAAAAGGTTAAAGTTTGTGGACCTTCGATAACCATTAAAGTTATTGGAAAAGTCGGTGTCCTTTGAGTTCCATTAGACTGTTAATCAGGCCATTACATTGTTCTTATATCGAATACGATATAAGACCGTAAAAAAAATTTTAATTGCGAACGATAATTCTTTTGTAAATACCAACGAACGAAATGATCTTGATAAAAATTTATTAAGAAAATATTCCTGCTAAAAGAGACATAAGATTTTAAGTAAATTTTATTGTAAGTAAATAAATTAAAAAAAAAAACATACCCTTGGAAAATTTTATTATTTTGTATTTACAGACAATGAGTATAAATCGAGAAATAATTAAAATTGAATATCATTTGATCTTCAAAAAAGTACTCGATATATAATGTAATTCTAAATTTTTCCAAAAAATTTCTTTTTAAGAAATTCCAATTTTCTTCGATGTTATATCGTTTCTGCTTATATCGTCAATGGGAAACAGACTCAATGTTTATCATGCATCCGTCGCATATTGCGAATGGCCTTTTCACTATCGTCACTACTTTTATCTTACATACAATATTTTCCATTTAATATCGCGCATGTATATATACATGTATATATAAACGTATATACATATAGATTTTGTCGACCGGGAATAAAACGTTTCTAAACAATGAACGAGCTTTCAACCAAAAAATACAAATAAAAACAAAAAATTGATGGAACAAATAAAAAAAACCATTTTACTTCGTCGTACGAATTAGATAAAATCCGTGAACGAACCTTTTCACCGGAGAATTTTTCGATCATGAATTCATCGTCGTTTTTATTTTAATTTTAATTATGAAAAAATAAATAAGTAATAATACTATATTATACTATAATAAAATTAATTTCGAAGAAAATTATTATCATGATTATTTCAATTGTATTAATAATCGATAGTTCATTGATCGAAATGAATGGGATCAAATAAATTGGTCTTCTGTTTGGAAATTTCAATAAAACTCTTTATCAAAACTATGTACTACTTTAACATATAATAATAACTGTAATCTCAAAAACAAGAATTATTATTCGTTGAAAATTGAGCATTATTGGAAATACGATTTCATGAAATGGATCTTTGACATTAAATTTTATATTAGTAATAGATATGTGAAAGAAAAGTGGAATATATGTTCCATATTTCTCGACTTCCAGAACAGCTTTCCGTCGGTTATAAAATATTAACAGCTTCCGTAACGAAAATCGAGCAAATCGTCGATGTAATTTGCAATTTAAATACTATAAGAAATATAAAAAATTATTTATTAATATTATTATGTTATTAATGTTATATGCCAATTTAATTATTAGCAATAATGGACATTAAGTTGGTCATACATATGTATTTATCTATTTTCAATTTTCAACATTATTTTTTCATAATTTTTCTTAAATACTCCATTTTACATTTCGTCCGCAATGACACGGTTTTGAAGTGAGGCAAATTGTCACTTTGTCATGTCTCATAATAACTCATATCTTTGTTTCTCTCAGGAAACTTCTATGGAAGGTAGTTCAGACTAAATCGTCGACAATGTATCTTCCAGTTTCTAATGTATACATTATTATTCAATATCAGGCATCCCGCGATAATACAAGTGAAACACACAGTGCTTAACTTCGGAAATTAAAGATATCAGGAAGACTAACTATATCCTATCTTTTATTCATTTATGTCCTAATAATTATTATTATTAATTATTAAGTTGAATTTGTTTAATTATATAATAGGTAAGAAGATATTTCAACAGTAATAGATTTAATAGATGCAGTATCGTTATTTTTTTTTTTTTTTATTAGTTTATTTAAAATATGTTAATTTCTAATTAGAAGCGTTTAATTTGAAGGATATATGTTCTGTTTTGTGATTATCAAATTATATTTATAAGATATTTTTCGGTTTCCAATCTGGGAATATTTTTTCATGTTATTTCAATGTAATTGTTCGTAACAATGAAGGTTTATTTCGTACAGCTTTTCTAACTATTAGATTTTTTCTTATCTTTCGTGAGAATGAAACCACATGTTTTGTGTGTGTATCGTTAGAAGATTAATAATTACATTCTCGGAGAACAATGGGGAAGTTTCACTCAAAGTAGGCACGTGGATTAGTAATTGACCTCCTTTTTTTCATTTACAAAGCTAGAATTTATTTTAGCTTAGAAAAATTATATGAATTTTTTCTGACAAAAATTGTTTGTCCCTTTTTTCTAAATTATTGTCGTCTAATCAGTGCATAAAAAGTATGTTATAATTAAAAACAAGAATATACCTATTAAAAGTATCCTTTTTTATTACAAATATCACGAGAGTATTATAAAAAAGGAAAGACGAATGAAAAAATAGAGATCGATTTGGTTTTGTTGAAAAGTGACTTTGAGAATCATCGACAAAAAATCTCAATTCATCTTGGCATGTGTTTGAATCACACCGGAAGTGGTCCCTTCGAAAAAGTGACATACCTGCAAGGAAGAAAACGATTCGGAATTACAATAAAAAAACACTTTAATACAACAGGTGTTTACAAAATATAAGATATATTCCAAAAAAGAAAAAAATGAATGTTTTAAGAATAACAATTGGAACGACATAGTTAGAAAATTAATTAGAAGCAAAGAATAAAAAAGGAAAATCGAAGTAGCAAAAAAATCAACAGTTACAATTGAAAAATTGAACAGTATCATTACAATTAATAAAAATGAACTAATGATCTGATATAATTAATAAAAAAGAAAGAAAAGAGAAGAAATACAAACAAAATAAAATGTAATATTTCGTTCCATATACAAAAAAAAATATTAAAAACAAATTTCCGATAATTTGATGAAAATATTGATGTTATCTTAACACTACATTAAAAGTCAGAAGGATTAAAACGAAGTGGAGTCCCCATGTGCAAACTTTTGGCGCGCGTAGAACGCACGTGGTCCATGTCGGAGATCGCGAGGGGGCGTCTGATTGGTAGGGAGTCGGCAGCTGTTTCGTTTAGCTTCAAACGTCGAGGGAAGGAGAGGTCGAGAATGCGAGAGAGAGAGAGAGAGAGAGAGAGAGAGAGAGAGAGAGAGAGAGAGAAAGAGAAAGATAGATAGTAGGTAAAAGAGAGAGAGGGGATCTGTGTTCGACTTCATGCGTGCCCACAGACGACGCCACAACGTTCGCGCGAGTCAGTTCGACGACGTACATTCGCAGACGTTCATTGTTCACTCGCGAAAATAATCAGAAGAGTACTCTTAATTTTTCTAAACTATCGAATAAATATTTTGTTATGAAAATCTAGAAATAAAAAAGAAGAAGAAAAAAAAGAAAGAAAGCAAAAAATAAAAGGAAAAGGATAGAGCTTGAGAATTGTGAAAAAAATACGTGGAGAAATTGAGTTACGAAGAATTTTTCAAAGGTCTTGAAGGATTTTAACGGACTTTCATCGTTCGAAACGACGACGATGGATGAAGGTTTTCAGAAGCGAAGACGGAAGGTGGAAAAGGTCGACGAGTTCTTGACGAGCTTAGAGAAAAAAGAATATTGCGAGGAGGACGTGAGAGTGACAAGTTAAGGTTCGAACGAAGGTGACGCTCTTGCGTCCTGTGAATCCTGTGACTTCTTCCAACTGACTCGGTCGGTAAAGTCATTTCCTTTGAATTCCGTGCGTGCTACCGCAACGGAAAATGTGAGATTCTACGTGAATTTGAATAAATTCACGGATGATTACTCATTTTATTGCGATAACAAAAACTTAAATATTTTCTGTGATAAAAGAATAAGGTAAATATTTTTTTTGCTCTTCACAACTCTTTCATTTTACTTTTCTTTGATTCCTTTAACAAAGCGAACGTGTTCAAAACGTTTTGTTGCCCTTTCTTTTATAACAAATATAAAGAATTGAACGTTTTCTATATCCTCGTAGTACGTATATGAGAATAAAACAGAGATAAAACGAGCGAATATACTTTAATCGACTTCTTCCTCTTCTCTCAAAACAAGTTCATTATGCGTTCGAAGGAACAAGAAATTGGACCCTTTCGGTAACGCGTTTTCAAAGAGGGAGAACTGCTGAAAATCTAAAGGGACGTTCATATTGAACTATTTTTCACGATAGCTTTCGAGACACAGAAAAGTTTTTCTTTTACTTTTATTTCATCGTCGAAGTTTCTAATTTCTTTTTCTTTTTTTTTTTTTTTTGTTTCACATTTCCATATCTCTTTCAACAAAAATAAAGTTAAATGCACGAGTATATAAAATAATAAGCGGGATAAAAGTAGTGAAATTATAATGACCGGCTAGACATATACTCTAAAATTCACGCTTTCGCGTTACGAGCAAATTAAATTAGTTGTTAGAAAGTTGACAAGATACGTTGACACTACAATGATTTAAAATTGTTTTTTTTGCTTTTATTTTTACACAAGACAGAGATAATCAATAACTATAGCGTAACATTTTCGAACGATGTATATGATAGTCCTTATTTTTTCACGTTATTTCTAATATCTAAAATGGAGATTTAACGTGCGAAAGTTCGCTAATAAAAAAGTTATCCTATCGATTTATAAAAACCTTGTAACTACGATTATAAAAACGATTTACGACAGTTAAATCTTGTTTTTTGGACTATGAAGTACATTTTTAACTCGACACGTTCGTTCTTTTAAACTTTCAAACTTCTAAACTTTAAATAGTAAATGTTACGAATCTTTAAAGGAATGTTTCACGTAATATAATATATCGTACTTTGTGAATGCGTTAAATTTTGTCTCCCTTCTTTGTCGTTTATCTTTTTTATTTTATTCAAATGAACAACAGAATGACGATTTTATGCTTCACTCGTTTTTTCTCAAACTTTTCTTTATTTTCCTTGAATACATTTTCACAAAAATATCCCATGAATTTCTTTTGTTCTCAAGATTTACCCGTTTTCTCGTCGCCTTTAAGCAAAAGACATTTTCTTTTAACTTTAAATTGTGTTTAGTGTCAAATTACAAGGCGACTGCGGAAGGTTATCCTTTTCCTTACATATTGCATGTTCAGCTTTCACACGTGCTACTGCTTTAAGAAAGAGAGAGAAAAAGAAAGAGAGAGAGAGAGAGAGAGAGAGAGAAAATGCTAGCAAGGTCAGCCATATATGTGAAAACGACCTAGCTTGTTAAAAAGTTACTCTCTTATCTGACAAAATGTAACAATTTTAATTCATGACTTTGTAGTTGCGCTTAAGCGGAGAAAAGTTTCGTTGTCCGTAAAAATTCTCATTTTCTGGGACTAAATTAAAATACATGCATGGCATGAAGATATTTAATTCATCATTATTCTCTGCCTATTTATTTGAGGGCGCTCTGTGATTATGTGTAAAAAAAAAAAAGAAAAGAAAAAAAAAATGAAAAATATAAAAAAAATTAGGTAAAACTCGACTAACTCGTCTTTATTGATTTTGATGTCATTTAAATACGTATATATAAAAAAAAAAAAAAACGATACGCGAGTATAAAGTTAAAAATCAAACAGAACCTTTGAAATAATGATCTTTCTTCCTCTTTTTTCTTCTCTTTTTCTTCTATTCTCGGAAAACATGAAGAATCAAAACATTCTGTTCATGGACTTTAATGGCTGGTTTCGCTGTGGTATTCGAACGGCCAGTGAACGGAC